AGCAGAGAACAATGGATGGTAAAGAAAGTTAAACTAGTTAGGGGTTGAGTGAATGGCAGAGGAGGAAAGAGATATTAACTCTGGCTGAGAAGAGAGTAACAGCTAGAGGAGAACAGAGTGCTGAAGAACATTTTCAGGATGGTACAGATTTTAGCAGTTTTATAGGATAAGAGAGGGGCGAGTGGAGAGTGAGATTTTTAAATTATGTTTTTGTACTTAATATATGGCAAGTTAACCATGATAAGTGAAAAAAGTTGCAGAATATGTATAGTAAAATGTCACTTATAATAAAATTCAGACTCCTTTCTATGGCCTTCAAGGTCTTAGGTCCTTTATGACCCAGCCCCTGCCTACTTCTGACTTCATCATATGCCATGCAACAACCACACTGGCCATTGTATTCTGATGCTTCAACATGCCAAATTTGTGTTTGCCTTGGGGTCTTTATCTTGCTGTTACTTCTGCCTAAAATTCTCTTCTCCCTGTGAATGGCTCGAGTTCCTTCAAGTCATTCAAATTGCAATTCTCTTTAGAAAGGTCTGCCCCAACTGTTTGTAATATTGTATTCCCCTCAACCCGAGCCCCCAAAGTTACCATCATTATTTTGTGTTAGCAACTATCACTACCTGAAATCTTTTTTTTTTATCCTCACCCGAGGACATTTTTCCATTTTTTGTTCAGATAGAGCGGGAGGGAGAGAGAGGAAGAGAGAGAGAGAGAAACATCGACGTGAAGGGACACATCGAGTGGCTGCCACCCGCACGACCAACCAGGGCCGGGGACAAACTGCAACCGAGGTACATGCCCTTAGTGGGAACCGAACCCGGGTCTCTCTGTACCGCAGGCCGATGCTTTAACCGCTGATCCAAACCGGCCAGGGCATGAAATCTTTTTTTAAAAATGTTTTTATTGATTTTAGAGAAAGAGGGAGAGAGAAACATTGATTGGCTGCCTCCTGCATGCCCCCTACTGGGGATCAAGCCTGAAACTCGGCATGTACCTCAACTAGGAATTGAACCTGGGACCTCTGGATGCATGAGACTGCGTTCAACCAATTGAATCACACTGGCCAAGGCACTACCTCAAATTCTTTTTTTTTTTCAATCCTCACCCGAGGACATTTTTCCATTTTTTTGTTCAGATAGAGTGGGAGGGAGAGAGAGGAAGAGAGAGAGAGAGCAACATCGACGTGAAAGGGACACATCGAGTGTCTGCCACTGGCACGGCCAACCAGGGCCAGGGACAAACTGCAACCGAGGTACGCGCCCTTAGCAGGAACCGAACCGGGGTCTCTCTGCACTGCAGGCCGATGCTCTAACCGCTGAGCAAAACTGCCCAGGGTTCAAATTCTTATTTATTTGTCCATCTCTTCCCACCCCTCCAATAATGTAAACTCCTTGAGAAGAGAGATTTTATCTGTCTTGTTCACCACATAGCTCTGCTGCTTAAAATACTGCCTGGCACATAGTAGGCATTCTGTTGTTGAATGAAAATGTACACACACACATATATATAAATGTATGTATTACATGAAAACATTAAGGAAGTTCTAAAACGATTATTATTTGAACTTATATACGAGGTGATTATGAGACTATACAATACCCATTCGCTTCTTTTTTTTTTTTGCTTCATAGATCTCTATCCACATTTTCTACAAAAACCATGTCTTTGCAAACCAGTATCTAAATGATCATATGAACCTAAGACAGTCAATCTATTCTGCCTATTTTCTTTTGACAAGTTGTCATGATCTGCCTATAGACTGTTCCTTAAGTTGTTTTGGTAGGGCAGTTCCAAGTTAGAATCTTAAACTTTAGAACTGGAAAGAGCTTAGAGATCATCTAATCCAACCCCATAGTTTTACAGATGAGGAAGCAGAGACTCATAGTAATGTAATTAATAAAACTAGTCATTGATGAAAATTTTTCAAAGACCAAATGATTAAGAACTACTTAAAAGGCTAATCTATTACATGTTACACATAATTTAAATAACTAATAAAAGCTTACTAAAGCTTACTCTTACGTATAACCTACAATCTTCTGGTGAATAATTACTCAAAGTAAAACTATTCCCTTAAGCACACTATTTGACCAATGAACCCTATGGTTAAGCATCAGTTAACCATTATAATATGACAAAGGATCAGAATACATAAATATAGGGAGTGGAAATTATTCACCGTTAGGTATGCAGACTAACTGAACTAGCAGGCATGTCTTTCAACCAGGATAAACAATAAGTATATAATACATTTAAAGATTCATTACACTTTGATTCAAATTTCTGTATCAATATCTAAAATGTACATTTAGTGAAATTTAATAAAAACTAAATGCTGAACAGGTAAGAAATACACTAAATATCATTTACAGAAATGACTTAAGTATTTCTCTTTACATAATGTAGATTTACTAGGAATATAAGTTTAACTTAAACTTTTGAATAGTACCAATTTATGTTTGTTTAACAAACTAATCTCATTTGATCCTCACAACAACCTCATAGACAGTAGAAGTTATTACTCCCATTTAATACATAAGAATGAAGCTCAAAGGTTAAAGAACTTAACTAAGGTCATTTTGACAAGTTCTTATGCCCAGATCCTCAATTTCTCAACCACTGTTCTTTCCATCCCTCAAGCTACCTCATGTTTGCTATGTATTAAAATGCAAAGCACCTTATAATTTCCTTCCTTCCACATTGGTGAAGGTGAAGAGAGTACCAAACTCTAGCAGTCCTATCCCTTTCTATTCCATCTGAAATTTTGGTACCTAAGAAAATGTTAGTCATTTTTATTAACAGTGAGAAAGATGACAATCATCTTAATTGAGAATTGTGCTCACCAGCAATTCTGTTTGAAATCCTACCAATTATTCAATTGTTTTCTTAACCCTAATAAAATAAAAGTACCCTCTTATTTAGAAAGTTCTCTACAAACAATACCCAAAGTGGTGTTAAGATTATGGGCTTTGCCCTGGCTGCTTTGGCTCTGTGGTAGAGCATCGACCTGCAGACCAAAGAGTCGTGGGTTCGACTCCAGTCAAGGGTTCGGTCCCCGGCCCTGGTCAGGGTCATGAAGGAGGCAACCAATTGATGTATCTCTCTCACATCAATGTGTGTGTGTCTCTCTCTCTCCCTCCTCCCACTCTATCTAAAGATAAAAATGAAGAAAGGTATCCAGAGGATTAAAAAATATATATGCATATATATATATATATATGTTTTATAGTTGAAAAAACCTGAAACAAAATCTTAGTCCTTTATTCACTAGCTGTTCAACTGTCAGTACATATCTTAACCTCCTTAAGTCTCACTGTCCTCATCGATAGATAAAACGAGGATAAACTCCATCTGCCTCTGTGAGTTGTTAGGATTCCATGAGTTAATATGTGTAAAGCACCTAGACCTTACAAGAGGTCCAGGTCACAGAGTTGGTGTTGTCAGAGAAACAAACAGATGCAGATAAGTACTGCTGATAGGTAATGTCATTTAACTTATGTGAACTTGACTAATTTAACTCCTGGGGTGACCTTAATTCTTTTTTCTGCCAAGTATCTGGAGCAGGACAGAATAGATCACACTTGCTCCCAGGGTACCAATTAAAGTGAATGCTGTATTTCAGTCCTCTTCTAACCCCCCAATTTAGGCAATATAGTAATAGTAATAACCTATTATTTAACTATCTTAGAATTAACTATCTAAATCCAAGCTTACACTGTTTTCACTCCTACTCTTCTTCTAAATCTAACTGCATTGTTTACTATTTTGAAATAAATCTAATAACAATACTAAGCCAATTTTAGAAATACAAATCATGATACAGTGAATTCACGTTGGGTGAAATGGGTAGGGAGTTTCAGGGGGAGTGAGGAAAGAGGGCTAACATTGAGAAATTATATATTCAGCAATCTATCATGCACTAAATTTACTTTCTTTTAAACTTCAAAGGCATCATTCTAATCACTATTAGTATCATTTCACAAATTAGAAAAGGGAAGCTCAAACTCTTGCTCACTCCCCCTGGCTCAGAGCTCTAACCACTCTAACCTACAGGAAGATTCTTGCTCAACTCAAAGCCTTTCCTCTTACAATCTCTGCCCAGAATGCTCTATCTCCCTGCAATGCTGTCTCCTTCTACTGCTTCAGGTCTCACCTCAAGCAGTACTTACTCTTACCAACTCTAAAGTAGCATACACCAACTACTGGATCCTTACTTCCTTCATAAACTCAAAATGATCTGCATTCATCTTCTTGTGTTGAACGACAGGAATACTTTTACTTTTCACTGTTGTATCAGAAGTGTTCCGCATAGACGATACTAGCTCAATGAATGAATATACACAGCTCCCTTCAGGCAGTTAACGAGTAAATGGCAGGGCCCGGAAACCAATCCAGATAAATCTGACTGCAAATTCCTACAAGACCTACCACTACTTTTTTCACTGGTAAGAAGAGAGATGCTTTGGGCTGAGAAACCAATTTAGAGGTGTGCATTCCTACTTTCTATATTCATTCACTGTTTAAAAATTACAGAACTATCTACACACATACTTAATACTACAAAACATTAAACCGAAATTTCAAGAGATCTTACGTTGCCTTTCAGAATCAACTCGATGTCCTGTAACAATCAAAATGCTTCAAAACTGTTGAGGAATTGGTATGTGTACATATAGTCATTTAATACTAAAGAAAATTTAAATAAATGCATTTTACTAACAGGCTTGTAATGTTTTGTTCTTTAATATGATGTTTTGGATTTCCGAATATATCATACACAAAAATTTTTAAATCAGCCATGGGATTATCATTCTGATAACGGTAATAATGTTCTTCCTTAAAGGAGGAGGACACAAATGCACCCAATCTGTTGCCTTCACTATTAAACCGTGTCCTTGCACACAGAAGTCAGCGCATGTACAAGCCCAGGACGGTAAGGGCAGATCACTAGCAACACTCCCTTTGTTACCTTACCCACGGGGTTGGATACTTACTGCTGAGTCCTCCATCCTCGGACGCGCCCGTCCCTCTCATTCCTAGGTAAGTCAGTCCCAATATTAGGAAAAACAAGCAGGCAGCAGTTAAGAGAAACATCGACAAGTAGTGGGCACTGAAACCCCCGGTGGGGGACACCTCCTCCCGTTTAAATTGCTGGAGAAGTTCTTCCTCGGGTTCGGAAAGCTTCGGTTTGGTGTAGGTGTTTTTCAGGTAGGTGTGATTGGAGCCCGTGTGATTGGAGTGATTGATCCTGAGTGAACCGGGGGCGGCCACCGCCGCACTGGGAGGGAGGCTGTTGGAAAAAATCCTGGGGGAGTCCACACTGAAGGCCCCGCCGCCGACGTGGTTGTTGGTTTTCAGAAGAGAGCCCGTGGACGACTCCAAGGTTGCGTCCATGTCCGTCAGGGGCGGGGGCAGGAGAGGGGCCAGCTTCTTGGCGTTAACGCGGTATCGAGGAACCGGGCTGGAGTCCAGGGCATCACACCCTGCTCCCCGCTCCGCCGCCGCCGCCGCCGACTCCTCGAGGTTTCGACTCCTGTCTAGACTCCCCGCGGCCGCCGCCCTGTCATTCATCGAGAGTCCTCCCCCGCCCTGAACCGAGGGCTCCGGCCGGCCGCCCGCCGCTCTCGCAGCCGGCGGCGGGAGAGGCTTAGCATGGCTCCGTCGGGGCCGATGCCGGGAGAGGGAGTCGTCCTTCGGTGCCTGTCGGCCGGGGGCCGCGTCGACGTCCCCCTCTTCCTCCGAGTCCGAGTAGTTGTCCCGGCAGCTGTAGGACAGAAGCCGGCTGCCATTCATGGTCCGGCTCGACCACAGCGGCTCGTCGGCCTCCGGGTCCCTGTCCTCCCGGGCTTCTCCCTCCTCGCCCTCGCCCTCCGCGGCCGCGTCTCTCCCCGACGGGGTCTGCGGCTCGGCGGCCGCCGGCCTCCTGGCCCCCCACCACGAGTGGGGCTTCCTCCGCTCGGCCGGGGCGCTGTTAGTCACCTCGCTGGCGGCCAGGGGCGCCGACGGCGGTTTGAGCCCGCGGTACTGGAGCGCAGCCCGGTCCTTCCTGCCGCCGCCGCCGCCGCCGGCCTGGTCCCGCGGACTGGCCTCCACGTCCGACTCGTCCGAGCTGAAGCCCAGCAGCACTTTGCTGCCCGCCGTGGGGGCGGCCGGGGCGCCCCCGGGCCCTCCCAGGGGGCTCTCCGGGCCGGAGGCCGAGATTCGGCCCAGGCCCCCAGGAGTCCGAAAGTGGGGGAGGTCTCCCGAGACGGGCCGGACCCCCATCCCAACGGCCGCCGAAGCCGGTCCCGCGGCGGCTGCCGTGTTATTGTTATTACTGTTCCGCGTCTTGTTGCCGCGGCCCCCAGACCGGTGCTGCTGCTGCTCTTCCTCGCGAAGCTTCTTCAGCTTCTTGAGGTAGACCGGGCGGGTGCTCTCCGTCACTGGGCCAGGAGACAGGCCGTAACGGCGAAGCTGAGAGAAAAGCTCCTCGTCCGAGAGCTGCTGAGGCGCCGAAGCCGCTGCCGCCGCCGCCATTTTCTCTCCAGGGTGTTTTACAAGCTCCGCGCTACCGGAAGTGACGCGCCGCCCTAGACCCTGAACTAGACCGGGCTGCGTCGCCCTCCCAGCGCCACGGAGCCTGGGCCAATGGGAGGCGCGGGAGGAGCTCACCTGAGCGGGAAAGGACCACCTGAGCGCCGTGGGGCTCCGCGGTGGACAGGTTTTCTGCCCTCTCACCTTGGCTGCCGGCGCACTCTCCCCCTCCTTCCCCTCTGCTTTCACCGCTCTCCTCTGCCCTCCCCTTCCAAGCGCCTTTCCCGGGAGCTGCCTCTCGCTAAACCACACCTTGACCTCCTCTTCCCAGGATCCTGACACCGGGCAGTAATAATTGGAATAAAGTGTACCTTGAAGCTCACAACATTAGTTTTCTTTTTCTTGTCTTTTTCTTTATTGAAAGTAATACAGATGACCCTCCTGTTCTCCCCCCCATTGACCCCTCCTCCCCGCACCCCCCACTTCACCACACTAGTGTCTGTGTCATTGGCTATGTATATATGCATATAAGTTCTTTGATTTCTCTCTTTATGCACCACCACCACCACCACCCCTTACCTCTGAGGTTTGTCAGTCTTTTCCCTACTTCCATGTCCCTGCATCTATTTTGTTCTCAATTTAATTTTGTTCATTATATCCCACAAATAAGTGATATCATGTGATGTTTGTTTTTCTCTGGCTGGCTTATTTCTCTTAGCATAATACTCTCCAGGTCCCTGTCACTAATTACTGGAGAAATGCAAACTAAAATGACTGTGAGGTATCACCTCACACCTGTCAGAATGGCTGCCATTTGACCCAGTGATCTCACTTCTATATCCTAAGAAGCCTGAAACACCAATCAGAAAGAATATATGCACTCCTATGTTCATAGCAGCGCTATTTACAATAGCTAAGATCTGGAAACAGTCCAAGTGCCCAACAGTAGATGAGTGGATGAAAAAGCTGTGGTACATCTACACAATGGAATACTATGCAGCTGTAAAAAAAGAAAGATCTCTTACCCATTAGTCCTCTGCTGAGGGAAGCCTAGCAAGACAAAAAAGGAAATGGTCAGACTAGATTGATAATTTTTCTGTCTGACTCCAGCTTCTCCCTTTTCATTTTGTCTTTATGCTTAACTTACAAAAAGAAGAAAAGTGAGTTTCTCTCAATGCTCTTTTTCAGAAGCCTCTCTGCCTTCATTCTAGAGAGAAGCTACAAAGTAGACCAGACACAATACAATTTTCTTCAACAGTAAGGGCTATTCATTTCCTTAGTTTTTTGTAAAGTTTTATGGTTTTCCCCCTTGAAAATCTAATGATCTCCATAGGTCATCATTTTTGTAATTGAGAAAGCCTATCATTTGCTTCATTTTATGACTTAAAGACAACACTATCCTATTCATTTCCTTCTCTTAGTGCCTTTCCAAACTATAGTTATTTATATAATTATTAATTGTTAATGATTAGTTTTATGCATTTGTTTTTTTAAGTATATTATTTATTTAATTTTTTATTGTTTTACCCTTTGAGCTGGACCTTTGAGAGGTCCTTTGCTTTTATTATTCTCCACTTCAGCCATATAATGCCTAGAAGTTCAATAAACATTTGTTGAAATAATTAGAGGAAGGAGATGAAATCATTTGCAGTTATTTTATTTCTTATTTTTGTTGCTATATGCAGCAACTAGAAAGAAAACTCATAAATATAACACTGATTTTATCACTTGACTTTTTAGCAGATCAAAAAAGTAACACTGAAGAAAGACATGATTTGCAGGGAGACCAGTAGGAAACTGTTGGAATAAGTAAAAGTGATGAAGAAAAATAGATATGAGTTAGGAGATACAAAAAAAAAAAAAGTAACACAATATTACAATGATGTTATCATTTAACTTTTCTTAACGTGCCTCAACGATGTATTCATTTATTCACTAGTTTTGATCTACAAGATTCCTGATGTTTATTTTTCTTTTTAATTGCTCAACTTTTATTCAACACTAACACTACTTCTAAAACAGAAGCCAGAATAAACAGACTGAAAATACAACATGGTATTGAGAAATATTGGACAATATTCTTGTCCTATGTTACCATGAGAGCTAGCCAAAAAGTTTCACAGCAAGAGCATCTGTTTTATTTTTCTGTATATAACTCAATCAGGTGGAGAATAGTTATATGATTCAAGTAAATAACATACATATGGTTGATAATTATATTCTACTCTATGCAAGAAGACAAATTGCTAAATCACATGTGATGGAAACCAGTTCACATTCATACATGATGGACAAGGATCTCTAAGTTAGAAGGTTTGAGTTCTAGTCCCAGTTATGCAATTAATTAATTGTAGCAATATTTTACTGTTGCCTCGTAGTCTATAAAACCTTTTCTTTTTCTCACTTAATCTTTCACCAACCCCAACAGTCAGTCATTGTTATCCCAGTTCTGTGGATAAGAAAACTAAGGCTCTAGAAGGTCGATCATCTGTCCTTTGTGAGAGCTATTTAGGGCTCAAATCCAAAACAACTCCTAGGTTATCTGACTCTAAGTTCAATGTTCTTTCCAGCCCATCATGATGCTTCACGTGGGTAGAATGTACTGCACAGAATGAGTCATTCAACCTTTTTTCTTTTAGTTTCTTCATCTCTAAAATGAGGATGTAAGAATACTTGATCATTAAGATCCCTTACAAATCCAAAACTTTCTAAAAGTCCTTTCTTATAGTACTTACTGTTCTTTTTATTATAGTTACTTATGCACTTGCTTTAGTTCTCCCTCTATACTCTATGTTCCTTGAGATAAGAGTCTGTATCTTGTTGAAATTTGTATCTCTCTCAGCTCCTTGCTTATTGTTGAATGTGTTGAATGAATAGTAAAGTGATACCACATGTCACAAAATAGCATTAAGAAGAATTTATGGTGACATACAAACAAGAAATATGTTACGGATAGGACTCCTGTGGGATTAACTAAAAATAGGAGACAAATGCTTGTCTAAATGGAGCATGAAGTTTAAGGAATATACCTGCAAAGAGGCTCCTAGCCCAGGCTGCTCTAGAAATTTGGTTTCCTTAAGCAGCAAAAGGCATTTTAATACCAATGCTAAACATGTAAAAAATGTAGAAAGATTAGTACAACATATTAAACCACCTTTTACTGGGATTGATGCTCCTTGTCAAGATGGAACAACAGGGATTAGATTTATATAAACAATATATAAACAATACTGTAAATAAAGACATCCAAACCCCTCAGTTTATGATTATTCTGTCTTTTCAATGCAATCCTTTCTTTAAATGCCCTTTTATTTGAATTGAGAGAAGTTCATATGCAAAAGGCATCGTCAGGTTTGTGTTTTACATTTTCAGACTTTGGTTAATGTATCCTTTGATGTTTCCTGGCTGTTCTTCCCAAAAGCTAAAGAATGGACAGAGAAGATAGCAGGGAGAGAGAGACATTTGTTTTCGATGAGATTGTAAATTTGCTCCTGACCTCTGCACCTTGTCTCTCTGTGAGAACATGATCTGGCCATTCACATAAGAGATGTATCTGAATGGTGTGTGCTTTTATTATTCATTTGGCCTCTGAAGAACAGGTCTAGATGAACAGCAATGGTCCTTGGGTTCCCCTCCCTGCTACAGGCCTGAAACTGCTCTCCAAACAGAGCTGGGACTGTCTTAGGCTCACCTCATTTGGTCCCCTTTTCTTGGATAATCACTGTCCTTCATTGCCTGATGTCCATTATCATGACACTGTTGTTTCAGTTTCTTTTCAGTTGTTTCAGGTTAGAGGAAAATCTAATCCCTGTTGTTCCATCTTGACAAGGAGCATCAATCCCAGTAAAAGGTGGTTTAATATGTTGTACTAATCTTTCTACATTTTTTACATGTTTGAAATTTTCCAAAATATAATGCCTGGTAGTACAGAAGATTTTTGAAGGAAAACAGTGGTGTGTAATGGGAATTTTATTTGGTTGTATTATATGTAAGATATAAAAATTCTCTCCTTTGACAATCCCCCAAGAATTCTTCAGTAAAGTCTGCTAATATGAATAAATAGTCATAACTAATTTTTATAACATACAAAAAGTTAGTTATATCATAAACACCTGTGCCAATACTACCCCCCTCATATAACTACCATTTTGTTGTCTGAATTTGATATTTATCATTTCATTCCTCTATGTCTGTCTCTGTCTCTCTCTGTCTCTCTCTCCAGATAGATAGATAGATAGATAGTAGATAGATAGATAGATAGATAGATAGATAGATAGATAGACAGACACACAATATATATAAAACATGTTTTAGTTATTTTAAAATTTGATATATGTTAATTATTCTGTAACTTACATTTTATTCAATATTTTATTTATGAGAGTCAGACATATATATAACTCTAGTTCAATCATTTTCACTGTATCCAATCAATAAATGAAATGTTTACTTTTTAGTTGCTCATCTATATTTTGTCAAGTCTCTGATTAAGACTACCTGATTTGTTCGTTCATTTGTTCATCAAATATTTATTGAATGCTCACTGTGGTCCAAACATTGTTCTAGGTTATGCTGATACTACAATGAACAAAATAGACATCATAGACCTTACATTGAGCTTAGAAGAGAAGATAGACATTAAACAAGTAACACAATATGTCAGTTAGTGATAGGAGCTAAGAAGAAAGACAAATCAAGGTAAATGGGATAAAGAGTAAAGGTGACACGTAGATGATACTGTTTTATATAGGTGGTTAGGAAGACCTTTTTGATAAAGTGACATTTGAGCAGGCATCTGAAGGAAGGGAATAAGTAAGCCAGGGAGAAGGGAATGGCAAGTGCAAAAACCAGGAGTGGGAATGAGCAATTTGGGATCATGCTTGGAACAGAAAGGAGGCCAGTGTAGCTGGTGTAGGGAGCAGGGATGGGGCATGAGCCAGGTGAGATGAGGTCTGGTCAGTGGTGGAGGAGTACAGATCTTGGCGGGCCTTTGGGCTATGGTAAAGCCATGCATCTCA